ATGCCAGCTCTATACAGGGGTGGATTCTGAGCCGCTAACAGCCTTCTAGGGAAGCAGGCAGGGACAGGGACTCCCGATGCCCAACCCCAAGCCATTCAGTGGGGAGGGAGCTCCAGCAGACCCAGTGCAGGAGTCTAAGCAGCCACTTGTTTACCCTCTGGCTGTTTCCTCCTCTGTGCACATGGGATAACAACACTGGCTCATGTTAATGGGCATTTGATGAGGCGCAGTAGCAGATCACTGTGGAGTGTCTTAATTCCAGAGCCAGGTAGAGGAAGAGGGGGTTGTTCTAATTCTGGGGAGCTGGTCACCCTGCCTTTCCTTTCTTCATCTTTCTCTATAACGTTGGCCAGGGTCAACAACCTGTTCCCTTCCTTCAGTTTTACAAGGTAAAGAAAAAGAACAAGAATGAAAAAAAGAGAAATGTTATAGATGAAGTCTTTATTGTGCCTTTTTGGATCACCAGATGGGGAATGAGTGATAATGTAGTCCTTAGATTGTTTCCATCAGGCAACCATACACTAAGTTAAATGATTTCCTGAGATTTGCTGGACATGAGTTTCCATGGAAGAGGATTGAACATCTTAGAACATGTCTGTTCTTTTAGAAGCCCTAGTGCCTTGAGCCTGCAATTTATCAGAGGCAAAGGCTTTCAAATGAGTGTTCTGGATCTGTTGGAAGGAACATTGGTGATTTGGGATCTTGTCACTTCTATCAGATCAGGTGTGAGAGTGCAAACCAGTAGTGATCAGATGAACAGCTAGGAGTGCAGGAATTATGGAGTTGTGGAGGTAGATTTTACTTTCTAGAAGTAAGAGAGAGAGGGCAGATCAAGCCTTCTGGAATTGTAAGAGCAAATAAAGGGAGGGCCTAGGGAACTTCCTGTTGATTAATTAGTGCAGTGCAAGGTCTTAGTTGGTTTGCCTTAACCAATTCCTCTCTATCTCTCCCCATCTCCCATGCCCCACCCCTCTTTTCATAAAGATTGAACCACTTTATATAAAAGGAGCCAATGGTTAAAAAGTCCAACAATAACATTTATAGCTTTCCAAATTCCTTCTTGTCATTGTCAGTATACTTACATACTTTTGCACATAGTTGTAGTCAGTGTTTTGGGTCCTTTTTTAAACAAATAAGTTTATATAGACTTTATCTTTTATGGATGCAGTCCATCATCAAGTTGTCACAGCTGTGCCAGGCTTCCATTGTTTACTGTCCTTTGAGCACTCCTACTCTGTATTGTGTTGTAATGTTATGTATGGCAATTTATTATTTTGGTGCAGATTACTATTAATACTTCTGGAAGCGTATTTCCCAGAGTAGAATCTTTTGGGATCTTTTTTGTTGTTTTTGTTGGCACGCGGGGCAGCTTCTTGTTGAAAGTTTCTACATTTATAATTTGGCCTCCAATTTTCTAGGGATTCCAGTGGTTCCCGCAAAGAAAAAAAAGATTCGAGTGTAGAGGTCAGCAAGACTAAGTGTGGACTCGTAGCTTTTCAGAGAATGGAGTGAATTGTTTCTAATGTTGCAAGGTGGTTTCTGAATGCCACACTATGTGGCCATTCCCATGAGGAACAGTAACCAGGCCACAGGGATGGACAGAGGGCACCCTGGCATCCAGCCTGTGTAGTTGAATGTGCTGAGCCTTCCTAAGAATGTTCTCCTACCCGCTGCACAAAGCCCTTGTTAAGGATTCAGTATGCTTGCTGCTGGGTGCGATAAGCTGGTATCTATGTTCCTTCAAAGCAAAATTATTAAATCATGTTTTGAGTTTGAAAACTGTTGAAGTAGTGGAAAGCAGATTAGTTTTCAGTGTGGTTTTTTAAAACTCAGTGTTGTTGACAGTATGCATGAGACCCTTACTTTCCTGCCTGTCCACCTCCCTTCTTAACTTTGGATTTTTTACTCAAGTTTTTGTGAGAACCTATTTTTTTCTGGGCCTTGTAGCTCCAACAGAGAAACATACAGCTGTGACCCTGCCCCTGGGGCCAGAGTTGGGCCCGCTGTGAGCTGGGAGGATGAAAGTGGGGGCTATCAGGTAGGACTGAGGTTGAAGAGGGTAGGTGGAGAGTGTGCCTGAGGGGACACTGACACAAACTGCTGCTGAGAAAAAGGAAATGCCAAGGTGGCACATGTGGAAGCCACTTTCCCTTCCCCTTTTGGTATTTTTAAGAGAATAAAAGGCCTTGTTGCTTGAGCAAGACTTCATCCTCCCAGAGCGTAGTTATTGGCAAATAAAAGCTAATGATCAGATTGAATCACACACACATAGTTGCAGTTGTGCAGCCTCAGAATTAGGTGCGGGAAGTTTACCTAAGTTACCTCAATTGATAATCTAGGCAACCAGAGTACACTTGTTCTTGTCTTTGCCTATATTTAGTTTCACCTGTACACAGCATGGGGGCCACGATCGTCAGGCGCCTGGGGTGTGTCCTGAGCATGGCCAAGACCGGTCCTGCCACATGTCTAGAGGCTCTAGGACCGTTCACTACATCTTTCCCTCCTCTGGGCAGCCCAGAGCTCCTATTCCAGTACCTCTTCTCTCTGCAACCTGAGTGCTGAGTGGCTGGGGGCAGATCTTAGCTCTCTGGAGCCCCAAAAGTTGGAGCTCAGATGTTCCTAAAAGTCTTTCAAGGTCAGCATGGACAAGCCGATGTGGGCTTATTCTTCAGCTGGCAAAGTCTACCTTGGTCTCTTGGTGAAAGGATGCATAGCTGGGCAGTTTTATGCCATCTCTGTGGTCTGTCCTATTTCTACTTTGTTCATATTTTTCTTTGATCCAGAGGCCCTTCCTTTCCCTCACCCCATATCCTGTGTGTTGTTGAGGATCCTGGATAAGCCCTCCTTTTCCAGGAAATCTGAATACTCATCTCTCCATATGACGACTGCATACCTTTGTATTTTGGACTTAATGCACCATACAGTTCATTAGCATTACTGGAGAGGGGAGTATATCTGACATGGAGTCAAGAGAAGGTTGCATTTTCTATATATTCTATTTCTTTCCTGTTTTTCAGCTTTTTTGAGGTATAATTGACAAAACTGTAATATATTTAAAGTATACAATGTAAGGATTTGATATACACATATATTGTGAAAAGATTCCCACATTCGGGTTAATTAACACATCTATCTCACATATTTGTTTATGGTGAGAATACTTAAGATCTCCTAGTAAATTTCAGTTGTGCTACTGCACAGTAGCACAGTAGTATTATCAACTATAGTCACCATGCTCTTCATTAGATCCTCAAACTTTGTTTTATAACCAAAAATTTGTACCCTTTTACCAACCATTCCCTAGTGCCCCCACCCCAAGGTCCTGGCAACCACTGCTGTACTGTTTTTTATGATTTCCACCTTTTTTTTTTTATGTATTCTACATATAAGTGATACCATGCATGTCTTTTTCTGTGTGGTTTATTTTACTTTTTGCTATTTATTTGCTAAGTATTCTTGGAGAACATCAGTAAGCCTCAATCAAAAAACAGTTACAGACAGTCCTATCTAGTATTTACTAAGTGTTTACCATGTGGCAGGCACTGTGCTAAAAGCCTTACCATCCATGTCCTCACTTAATATTTCCTATCATTAATCCGATTGTATTGGTGCTAAATCCAAAGGCAAGAGAAGATTCAGAAAGATCATGCTGAGCAAACCATTGTAATATCCCAAAAGATAACAAAGATGTAAGTATATACCTAGAGAAAATTCAGAAAGGATGTGTACCAACACATTAACAGTGGTTATATCTGTGGGGGGAGACAGGTTAGTTTTTATTTTCTTTTTTATACCTTTGAAGGAACATTTTGTACACTTCTTTGCTCCCCTTGACAGCTGTTTCTGGGTGGAGCACATAGAAAATGCTTAGTAAATAGATACTGGTGAAGGTAGAAAATGAAGGTCTCTTCTTTCCTTGGCTTGATTTGGCCCCAGTGTTGGTAGCTCTGGTTGTGTGAGCTACTTCATTAGTCGTTGATACAACTGCGCTGCTGCTGTTTATCTGGCAAGTCCCCGGATGGGCTGCCCCTTTCCAATAGCGGAGTGAAGGCCTCCAGGGGTGATGAGCTTGTCGTGTTGTGGGACCATATTTACCTGGCTGACAGGCTCAGCCCTGGCAGCAGGCAGTGGGAACTGATTGGCCAACTTGTTTTATTTCCTTCAGCGCAGCAGAGTCTGGAGTAGGTTGGGGACAGTCTGCTTGCTTGATGACTCAGTGTAGCTGATGCAGGTTGTCAGGTGCCTTTCAAGCTGCTCCGCTTTAAAGCGTAGCTGCTCGCAACAGCCTGACTTAACAATCCAGTTAGTACCCTGCTCTGCTGCCCTCTGCACAAGGCCACCCTGCCTTTAACAGCTAGGACAAGCTGGCTGCAGATGCACTTGTTGCCAGGTCAGAGCTGCTGTGCTGTCGCGCCCCTCCCCACCCCCTTTTTAAAGCTTTATATGATGTCATTTTATGTTTTAGGTAACTTTTAATTTTGATATAATTTTAAACATACAGAAAAGTTGTAAGAATAGTACAAAGGACTCTTGTGTATCTTTTATCCAGATTTGCCATCAGCATTTTGCCTCATTTGCTTTACTTGTGTATGTTCTCTATCCCTCCTTTCCTCCTCCTCATGTATATATGTGCACACACACATTTTCTGAACCATTTGACAATAAGTTGCAGATGGTATGCCCCTTTACTTTTGAATACCTCAGTATGTACTTCCTAAAACAAGGACAGTACAATTCTCTTACATAATCATAGTACAATTATAAAAAACAGCAAGTTCAACATCAGTATAGTGCTGTTACCTAGTCTGCTGTCCCTAATCAAATTCTGTCCATATTCAGATATAGTCCTAGTAATGGCAGAGCTTTATTTCTAAAGAAAACACCCCTGAGGCATGTGGGTGACTCCTCAGTTACCTGGCTCAGAGGAGGACAGAGTCAGCAGGCATTTGGGGAAGTAACTGTTGTGGGTGCCACATCACTGGCTCCTTCTGTCTCTACAGGACCAGAGGAGTAAGAGCAGCAAGAATCACACTCGGCAACGATGTCAGTGGAACTGGAGACCTCAGAGGGGGTGGATGAGTCAGAGAAAAAGAGCTCAAGGACCCCAGAAAGAGAAAACCATACCAGGTGAGCGATGGGGCTGGCCCTGTTGAGTCAGGTGGGCCCAGGGCCTGCTATGCCCAGTACACTTGGCTGTGTGTGCTGGAGGCACTGGGGTGCAGTCAGGAGCTGTGCTGCTGTGGCCCCCAGAATGACTGGTTGGGACAGCAGAGAGCACCATGGGCTGCTCAGCACTCTCCCTGTGTGGCTTCAGGGAGGTAAGACAGGCCCCACTAGGGGTGCTGAGTAACAGAATTTGACAGCATTCTTGGTCCTTTTTTCTTCTTAAAACCCTGAGCGTTTTATCATCTGGGGTCAGAAAGGGCAATCGGGTGAAGCTTGTGCCTTTTCCAGTGTCTTCTACCCATTAGAATATGGGAGCAACTCCAACTTCAGGGTGTTTTCTTACTGTGTAGGGCCAGTTCACTCTAAGTCTCAAGTTACCGGGGCCTGTTTTTCATCATTATCCTCTCATTGCAAAGTTCTTTTATTATATCTTGAAATAACTGCTAATATTAAATGATTCTCTGCACGTGGGTGATACGAACTAATCTCCTAAATCCAGCAGAGGCTGGGCTATAAGAGGTCAAGTTTTTCTCACTCTAGCAGATGGACTGACTGTGTGGACACATATGAGCCATTGCACAGTGCCACTGCCATTAGGGTCATGCATTCTCTGCCTTGTCTGGCATCTAGTGGTACAGCTCCATCCTGTAATTTTGTTAAGCATATACAGTGTAGGTCCTGGCTCCAACCTCCCCGGCCTCTGCCTTTCTCATTCTCATCCTAGATTTGGGCCCAACCACATGTCATCCTGAAGAGGATGTGAGTCCAAGGTGGGAGGACAATAGCAAGGCCATCCCAGGAGATCCAGAGTCAGTCCTTCACAATGGCATGGATTCTAGAGGACATGTTCCAAAAAGGCTGGCCCTTCCCTGGGGAAGCTGGCAAATGCTGTGCTTAGATTAGAGGCGTGTGTTTCTTTGGGCACTAGGTGGCCAGAGAAGCAAAGCATCGTTCATTTGGGTGGTTCAGGGACACTGTTGAGGAGTAAGCCAGTCATCGCACATGTCACCCAAGTTTTTGGGGCACAGTTATGTCTGCCTGCCCTGTGCTCCCTGGCAAGACCCTACATCTATGCTGGAATTGAGTTTCTGAGCAGCCCCTGCCTCTCGCTCAGCAAGCAGATACTCTGGAGCTGGGAGGGTTAATTCATACCTGCACACATGCACACACATACCCCGTCTCTCCACAGAATGGCTGACCTCTCCGAGCTTCTGAAAGAAGGGACCAAGGAAGCACATGACCGAGCAGAAAACACCCAGTTTGTCAAGGACTTCTTAAAAGGCAACATCAGGAAGGAGCTGTTTAAGGTTTGTGCTTCAGTCATGGATGGGGTCAGGTTGGGGGCCTTAGTCCCATGAGCACCGAGGGGGAAGCTAGGCCTTTCTTACACTCCACTCGACGTGCTGTGGTTTTCATAGCTTTAATGGAATAACACAGTGATGTAAAGAAAGCAAAAGTATCCACATTCCAAAGAATTCACTATGTCATTCCTTTAAGAAATGAGTTTGCTGGGTGTGTGAAATAATTTACTGTAAAAAATGGGCCTTTAGGGGTTGGAAGGAGGCGTTGCTTGCTGCTTGAGCCTTTGTCGCTAGCTGCTCAGATGCGGTATGCTCAGGAGCTGCCATACAAGGCCCACAGCCCTTTCCCATGGCCTCCCCTATCACTCTCAACAGCTGGCCACTACTGCACTTTACTTCACATACTCAGCCCTCGAGGAGGAAATGGATAGCAACAAGGACCACCCAGCCTTCGCCCCCTTGTACTTCCCCATGGAGCTGCATCGGAAGGAGGCGCTGACCAAGGACATGGAGTATTTCTTTGGTGAGGACTGGGAGAAGCAAGTGAAGTGCTCTGAGGCCACCCGAAAATATGTGGAACGGATCCACTATGTGGGGCAGCACGAGCCTGAGTTGCTGGTGGCCCATGCCTACACTCGTTACATGGGGGACCTCTCAGGGGGCCAAGTGCTTAAGAAGGTGGCCCAGCGGGCCCTGAAACTCCCCAGCACAGGGGAAGGGACCCAGTTCTACCTGTTTGAGAACGTGGACAACGCGCAGCAGTTCAAGCAGTTCTACCGGGCCAGGATGAACGCCCTGGACTTGAACCCAAAGACCAAAGAGAAGATCGTGGAGGAGGCCAACAAGGCCTTCGAATACAACATGCAGGTACTGCGGCGGGCTAGGCAGAAAGGGGCCTCTGACAGCATGAGCCAATCTAGAGCTGCCCCAAACAGGCACCGGTGCATTAGGACAGATGAACTGCAGCTTGCCCGAGAGAAAGTTAAGGGACCAAATAGGCCACAGAGGGCATGAAGCCAGTGATGGCTCCGCCTTGTTTGATAGACAGCCTGTGTATCCTGTTTTGAGAAAGGCAAGGCCCCAGCGCGAAGTGGGCTTGGGGAGAATGGAGCTGTCCCCCTCTTTCTCACCACAGGATTCTGGTTTTGAGGAATGACGTTCTTCCTTTTTAGCAAGGGTTGCTATGAAAAGTCCTGCTTGGTAAGTTCAGGGAGAGAACACAGGAGTGAGGAGCATAACTCAGTTTACAAGTACCCTTTAGATGGGGCTGAGGCTGGGGAGGCTGATCATGTCTCCAGAACCCAGGCCAGCCATCAGTACCTGGAAAGTGGCCATGGGGGGAGTCTGACCACAGGCCCATCAGCCCTCCAGTCTGATGTCAGCAGGCCTCTGGGGGCCGCTTAAGATGGGTCAGTCCTGCTGGGGCCTCATCCTTCCACATTCTTTTTACTATTGTTTTTGCTAAAAATACTCAGTGGCTGGAAGTGAAGTACCAGTGGTCAGAGTGTTTTTGGGCAGCACTCTTGCTCTCACATCCGTGCCAATAGTTTTCAGTTGTGGGCTGTGTGTGTGGTCAGTGCCCAGGGAAGATCCACTGGGCAGCAGCACAGGTGCGGCCACACTTCCAGAGCTTGTGCTAGGGAGAAGCACCATGTTGGTGTGGCTGCTGCTTTGCTGGTTTGTACCCCTAAGCAAGCCTCACCTACTCCAGCTCCCTTTGCACAGGGGAAGAGAAAGGTTTTTCTTAGAAAGCAGAGTGTATGCAGTCCAGTAACGGTGTTGATCCTCTGCTCCTGCAGATATTCAATGAACTGGACCAGGCTGGCACCTTGCTGGCCAAAGAAATCCTGGAGGATGGGCTCCCTGTGCACAATGGGAAAGGAGATGTGCACCAGTGCCCCTACTACGCTGCTAAACAAGACAAAGGTAGGTCTTGTCTGTTCCAAGCTCCCCTTCCAGGGCAGGTGTGTTGGTGTCCCCCACTGATGCCATGTCTTGTTGGTGCTGCCACACAGGTGCCCTGGAGGGCAGCATCTGCCCCTTCCGAACAGCCCTGGCTATGCTGAGCAAGCCCAGCTTCCAGTTCATTCTGGCCACCAGTGTGGCCCTGGCTGCTGGCCTCTTGGCCTGGTACTACATGTGAAGGACTCATCACACCACATTGGCGCTCTCCTCCCCAGTGACTGCTGGCCCACCCCCACCTCTACCCATGATGAAACCAACACCTCAGGTGACTTTTTCTTAATGCTGGGTTTGAGAAAACAAGAAACCAATAAAAGCCAGACGCTAAAGCTTCTGCCTGTTAGCATCCTCTACGGGCAAGATGCTGAGCGGGGTGGCTACCCCTCCCTGCAGCCCCCACCAGCCTGGGAGCACCCCTGCAGCTTAGCCCACCAGCCTGGGCCTGTGGAACCAGCTCCAGCTCTGCCCACATCTCTCTCACCTTGAGGCTCATTCTCTTCATTCTTCTTGTTGTGTCAGCACTTAGATGGATATCTTTTCCTTGCTGGGCGTGGAGTGGCCAGCAAGGCCAGGCTGCCGTAATTCTGGGAAGGAAGAGCCCTCCCCAGATGCCCCTGCTCTACTTTGGGGCTTCTCCTAGGGGCGGGGGGACAGAAGCCAAGCTGGCACCCTGCCTCTGAAGCCCAGGAAGCTCTGTCCTGGCCAGGTAGTCCTCATCCCCCTCTAGCAGAAACCTGTGAGAGGGGTGTGTCCAGCCATGGTCTATATCCTCTGACCTGTGTTAATGCTCCAGCAGTCAAAGTGGACACTGACAGCTGCCTCCCTTCTTCCTGGCATGGATGTCATCCTTCTCACTAGTCCCTGACAGACCCTTCCTGCTGTTCCTATGCTCCCAACACTGCAAGTTACTTCACAAATAAGGATAAAAAACCATGTACTTGTATTATATAATAATTCATTGTCTAAAATAGAAGTGTGAACTTAAATATTTTTATTAATAGGAATCTATTAATGTTTCACATGTTAAGGATTTGTGAAAGTTTCACTCATGAAGGAGTTAAATGGGAATTTTCTTCAACTAATGACCAAGCCTACCCACCGTCACAATTCATAGGAGGGGTAGGGGCAGAGCCAGCCCAGAACCTGCCTGCTCCCCAGAAGTCTTACCCCCAGTGGCTCTTTCTTGCTTAAGGGAGCAGAGGTACCTGTCTCCTTGAGCTCGAGCTGGGGGCTCCAGCTTATATATTCTCATAGGTGAAACCAGTAGCAGAGATAGTAAGGTGACCTTACAGCACTGGGAAGCCAACACATGCCCTGGCCCAGTCACAGCTGGAATGCCAGGGCTCTTCCACACCGTACTCTGGGTTGGTTGAATTAGGTACTGAAATGTCAGTGTTGTCCCCAGGTAGTCAGCACTTGCACGAAACCCTGAGGACTGGACCCTGTCCCTAGACTACCTATAGTGCCACCCGCTTTCCCTTGCAAATGAAGGAAGCCAGGCAACAGAGCAGAGGCCCAGAGCAGAGGAGTGAAAGGGCCCATTTAATGAGAAACTACAAACAGACTGGCCACGATTCACAGTGACAGGAAGGAGGCCATGCAGTGGCAGTGCGACCAGGGGAGAAGGGCGGCGGCAGGGTAAAGCAGTCCATGGGAGCAAGTTCACAGACAGACCATTCAGAAAATAGTGTGGCCTCAAGCCCAGGGCAGGGCTGGCATACACCAGGGCACTTCTGCCACTTGTAGTTGCTCCTTCCTTGTCCCTAGTCCAGTGCTGCAGCTGTACAGTGACAGCAAGTCGGCCAGGGTAAAGGGCCCGGTGTTCACCGGGAAGAGGGTCCATGGAGAGAGCACTGCAAATTTGAGTGTGCCCACAGGGCCCTATCTGCCATCTCTGGTCCCAGCTGGGACACACCAGGCACAGGTCATGCCCACACACACAGCAAGGACATGGTACAGAGGGGTTGAGTTCTTGGGCATTCCTCCTAGCCTCAGCAAAGACAGGTTCATAGAGGCATGGCCAGAAAGGGAGCTAGGCAGGGGACAGAGGCAAGTGCCTTCTGCGTGAGCCAGGGCCCAATAACTTACCCATGACCTGCAGTTGTGCTGACCTCTCTACCTTACTCCAGGTGGCTCCTGGGCACTTGGACAAGGTGTTGAGTTCCTGAGAGTTCCGAGGGCCAAAGTCGTTTCTTCTGATCGTCATGCCCGCCTCTAGCACCCCAAAAACAAACCCTGGCTTTCTGACCCTGCCCTGCTTGGATTCACTCTTCCGCTCTCAGCCCAGCAGATCAGGCACAGCCCCACTGCAGGCCTAGGTCTGGGAAACTAGCCACTGCTTGGGCTGCTTTTGGTCCCGGGAAAATCAGGACCAAACCTGTACCTCATACAGAACTGGAGGAGTGAGACCCCAGCAGGAAGACCCTTCCCAGCTTATCTTCCTGATCACAAAACCAGCAACACACAAGCCCAGTGCCAACTCCCTGATACTCGCTGACCCTTGGCCTTAAATCTAACAGAATTTTTGCCAGAAGAGTCAGATGTTCAGGGAAGGGCAAGGCAAAGAGGACAAGACTTCCAGGGGACCGGTGGAATGGCTTCCACCCCCAAATGGGAGTGGGGACACGAGCCACTGAGCATGGGGAGCAAAGCACGTGGGGCCAGACTGACAGTGGGGAGTCCAGTCCTGGCTCCGTTAGCACAGACGCTTGTACGTGTAGATGTAGGCTTTGCAGCTGGGGCACGTGTGCGTCACATCCTTGAAGTCGTTGATGAGGCAAGGGATCAAGCAGCAGCCCAGATCACACCTGAATCAGAGATGGGGAGAGACGGGGAGGCCTGAAGAGGTGCCGAGGGCACCAGGTCTACTCCAGCTGGATGGTGGGCAGGCGCAGCCCCCACCCCCCGAGCACTTGTACCACCTACCCCATGAAGCAGCAGAAGAAACCCAGCACGAAGTTCATTAGGCCAATCTCGTAGGAGATCTTGGTGGTGATGGCCTGCTGGCAGTGGGGACACACTGTCTGTACAGGTGCACCCTCAAAGATCTCTCCCTGTAGCACTGTCACTGTGGTGGCAGCCCCCGAAGGGACCAGGACCGTAGCAGTGTGGCCCCCAGGGCCAGGATAGGGCCCTGGTGGGTAAGGCCCCGGCGGGTAGTAGCCCATGGGAGGGTGGGGGCCTGGAGGAGGGTAGAAACCTGGAACGGCATAGAAGATGGAGCAGACAAATCACTGGTTTGCCTCCTGTCCCACATGAGAGGTAAGCACAAAGCCCCAAGGCCCCAGGACACAGTTGAGGCCTAAGGGACCAGGCCCCTAGGCCAAGGTAACCATACATTCTTTTAGCTCTTCTTTATCCCTGCCCGCCCCATGGGGACCATGGTAGAGAACTGGTAACAAGGCCCACTCTCCCCTCAGCTTGAAGCGTTTACTCCCTTGCCTGTTATACATGGGACTGGGCGCTGTGCTCAAGGACCTCAGGAGGGAAAGCCTCACTGCTCACCAGTTCCTCCCTTGCACATAGGGCTCTCCTCCCCAACAGATTCAGATCCTGCACTGCAGTGCCACCTGGCCCACCTGACCTGGGCCCACCTACCTGTGCAGGAGCCCTGGCCCTTCTCTGGCCTGAGTGGTCGCTCTGAAGAGCTGCTGGGTGGACAGGTGCCCAGGCCTTCACCATGGCCTCAGGTTTCTGGCGGGGAGTGGTCATGAATCCACAGAGCCTGCCACTGTGCCTATGGGGCCTTCCCAGGAGCCAGCCTTCCTCCTGGTAGGGCCCTGGGCTCCTCTGGCTTGTCCACAGCACCTGCGCAGCAGCGCCTATTCTATGACACCTTCCCATGTCCACTTTCCATAAGCACCATCAGCCCCGCTGCCCGTACAGTAAAACACCCTCGCAGACAGAACAAAAGGCTGGATGACAGCCTATTGGGCTGAGCAGCCCTGTGCTCCCCTGGGATTGATCCCTTCCAACTTACCTGGAGGCATGTAGGAGCCATCTGCATTCACATGTGGGGGGATGAAGCCAGGTTGGGGCACTGAGTGGTCCAGTGGCTCGTAGGGTGGGGGGCCAATGTCTGCAGGGGGCAGTGACGTGCCCGGTGGAGGCTGCATCACAGCTGGGGAGGTACTGCCTGGATAGAGGCAGAGAGAGGATGCTCAGAGGGACCCGGCCACACTGCTGGTGGGAGAGCTGCTCCAGGCACCAGCTTCTAGCAGCTGAGATGGACAAGGGACAAGGTCAGGACCAGGGTGCACCGAATACTACCTGGGGTGGGTGGGGCTCCACTTTTATCTTCTAGAAGGGGGGCTGTGGGGCCCCCAGGATAAGGAGGGGGTGGGTCGTTAGACATCTTCTAGGCTCCTCCTGGACCTGGAAGGAAAACAGAAATGAATTAATGCTCCCAGCCCTGCTACTGCCAGGTGGGCACTGATCTGTGTTGAGAACCTGCTGCACAAGGTGCGTGACAATCCTCAGGGAGTCACCATGTTCCATATCTCAAGAAACTACTAACCTCAGCAGTCACCTGAACTTCCTGTGTGAAAGCCAGAAGACAAGGGCAGCCCAACAAGGATGACAGAACTGAGTCATTAAGGAGGACATGAAGCCAGTGAGGTGAGCCCCCCTACCCCAGTAGCTCCAGAACCTAATCTAGAGCTCCCCAGGGCAGCTTGGGCACTGGTCCCCTCCTAACACCCAGGGAACACTGGGCCAGTCTCCGTGCCGGGGCACTGGCCTACTGATGGGAGGGGATCTGGGAGACATTTTACCTCAAATCCCAGATTCTGAGAGTTGGAAGGCAGGTAAGGCTCCTTCCAGTGCTGGCCTGGACAGACACAAAGGGCCCCGGGGAGCTGTTTCAGGGCAAGAACAACATGTAGCTCCTTCCGCACTGGGGCAGGGGCCATGCACCAGGACTGGGTGGGGCTTGGGTACCTGGCCTCCAGGAAGTCAAACTCCCCTCCCTCATTCACCTGGTCTCCCCAACCCCTCTGCTGCCCAGTACAGCACCACTGCTGTACCTACCCGCGTAGCTCCCTCTTCTCAAGGCTGCTCTCTCCCTGGGCCATGGCTGGTCTCCTGCATTCTCTCCCCCACCAGGCTCAGACCAGCTCTTAGAGTAGCGGCTCTCAGAGCCAGCTGTGCACGGTGGTGTCTCTGCCCTTCTTTGTTGTGTTAAAGTGGATGGGGTGGGGAAGGAAGATGATATTAAGTGAAACAAACACTTTTCCACATTTCCTTCGCAAGGTTCACTGAGCACTTGTTTAGAGTCTAAACAGTACAAAAGGTACACAGTGAAAGCAACTACCCTAGTGTAGCTCCCTCCCAGAGCCCACCGGAGTTACGTTCAGAACCATACGGATGGGGGACCCCAAGTAATCCTGCAGGGTAAAGGGAGCCTGGAATCAGCAAGTTTAAATATTAAATTTAAGAAATCAGTGGCAGGGCCAGAGTGGTCAAGTCCAAGCAGCAAAAGACAAAGATAAATTCGATTTCATCAAAATTTAAGACTGCTTTAAAGGACACTATCAAGAAAGTGAAGACAGCTTGTAAGAATGGAAGAAAATTTTTACAAACCATGTATCTGCTAAAGGATTTGTATTTAGAATATATAAAGAACTCTTCTAACTCATTAACAAAAAGACAATTCAATTAAAAAACGGGCAAAGGATCTAAGTAGACATTTCTCCAAAGATAAATGCCCAATAAGCACATAAAAAGAGTCTGAACATTATTAGCCAAAAGGGAAATGCAAATTGAAACCACAAGGTACTATTTCATACCCGCTAGGATGGCTAAAATGAAAAAGACAAGTATTATGTACAGAAAATGGAACCTTCGCAGTGCTGGGGCAGGAGTGTAAAAATGGTGCACCTGCTGTGGAGAGAGCACCACATGATCCAGTAATTCCACTCCTACATATATACTGAAGAGAACTGAAAACTGCAGAAAAACTTGCCCACAAATGTTCATAGCAGCACTATTCGAAATAGCCCGAGTGTAAATAAGTCACGTCCGTCAACCGATAAATGGATAAACAAACTGGATATATCCATACAGTGGAATATTCGGCCATGAGAAGGAATGAAGTACTAACACATGCTACGACCTGGATGAAACTTGAAAACATGCTCAGTGAAAGAAGCCAGACACAAAGGACCACATATTTTATGATTCCTTATATAAAACATCCAGTACAGGCGGATCTAGAGATGGAAAGCATATTACTGGTCGCCAGGGGCTTGGTGGGGAGGAGGCAAATAATGGCGAGTGCAGGGTTTCCTTTTGGGGTAATAAATATGTCCTGAAACTTACTGTAATGATGGTTGCACAGTTCTGTGAATATCCTAAAAACCATTGAATTGCACATTTTAAACAGACAAGTTGTATGGTATATGATTATATGTCAATATATATGTCAATAAGAAAACAAAATTGCCCAGTCTTATCCTAATGCAGTCTCTGCCAATCTGCATGCACAGCCACCTATATTTTTATATAGCTCCTGTCATAACAATTTTAAACCCTTTTAACATGTGTCACATATATTTCTGCCATCTTGCAGGAGTCCATGACCATCAATTTTAATATTCCCTAAAATGGACCCACCACTGTTTACTTGACCAACCCCTATTAAGGCAGTTAGAATGGTACTTGTTACTTTTATTAAAAACAGGGGACATTCTTGCCTAATGCTCCTTCCATTTCTTGGACTATTTCTTTGGACTAAACTTGCCAGAAGTGAGATTATTAGGTCAAAGGGTATGGACATTTTATGCCTTTTGTGAAGGATGATACCAATTTACAGTGCAAACTTTGAATACTGCTATCAGGATTTGTAACATTAATATGAAACCTGGTTACTTTTTTTCTTTGACCACCATGAAGCAGTACATCTTCCTGAGTATTTGCAGAGTATATGCCCACTCTTATGAGTTGCTGCTTATGTTTACCCTTTGAAGACATGGAGGCCAAAAAAAGATGGGACTTGTCCAAAGTCACGTGGCATTTTAGAGGCAGAGCTGAGTCTAGGATCCTGAGTGTCTCTCCGACCCCTCACATCCCACCGGAGGTGAATTCCAACAGCACAGGATCAAGAACAGGGAGCAGCAAAGCCTCTAGAGGACTTCACAGAAGGTCTCTTTACAGACAGGAGCCATTGCTGGCCCATCAGGCATCCTCCTAATGGGAGAAAAAGGAGCCTTCTTTAAGAGGCTTGACTCATCATGTATGTGGAAAACACTAACATGCTGAGTCTATTGGAACATGGGCTGGCACCTGCCACAAAATCCCATCCACCCACATGGATGGGATGCCTCTGGGGTGGCACCATGCATGGCTCCCAGGGAACCGACCAGGCCCTGGGATGCTCTCAGTAGGGAAGAGCTGCATTGTGCTTGGTGAGACTTTTGAGCACCTTCAGGTTCTCAGAAGGAGGAAGTAGTCTGGGTGTTCCAAGCCTTCCACCTCCAGAGTATGGGCACACGTGCACACACGTGTGCACGCACCAGGCACCACCTCTAAGGATGCAGGCGTGGCCTGCCTTTTCATCAAAATCATTAGATCTAATTCTGTAGTCTCCCAGAGCACAAGAATTCTACTTCTGGAATTACACCATCAAAATGATGGTACAAGCCCTGCACACGGGGCGCAGGTCTCCCTTGGTGACCAGCCAACCCTGAGCCATCCTCACATACCTACCGCAGGCCACACAGGGACGCCTGGAATGCACACAGGGACGCTTCTACCCCAGGTGCTGACCACATGCACCAGAGCCTCTTCTGCCCAATCCCTTGGGCAGCAGGGCCCTGCTGCTCCTCTCCCTCTCCTCCCCTTCCCTCCACATTCACACCCATCCTCCGGCCATCTTCCTGAACTGTGTGTGTGTGTGTATAAGGTGGGGAGGGCAGGGGGGCCTTCAGTATGAAAGAAAGACGTTTCCAAAAAATAGCTCATCAAGATTTCCTGAATTCAAAGCTCAGTTCCTCCAGTGCCTCTGAATATAAAACCAAACATGCATTCCCACAAACTTCCATCATCAAGGGGAAGAAAAAATGCAAGAGTACAATCTTTTTCAAAAGTCACGTGTCCAAAAGCCAAACAGCTTTCCAATAAAAACACACACATATAAATTAAGCTACAAATACAACTGTAGCATCGAGATTTCAGCCCCAGCAACTTCACTATTGGGCAGGTGCTGGTGCATGGGTTATGAGAGGCTAAGGAAGGGGCTGCAAGACTGGTGGGTTTGCAGTTCCCAGCAGAGGATAGTGAGGCCTGGGGTCCTGGGGAGCTCAATAAAGTCAACTTGCAGCCCTGGAAATCCAAGACAGGCCTCTCAGCCTCCTGTTTGGATCTTGTAGCAATGAATTGTGAAGAAATAGAGGACTGTTTGAAAATCTTCACAAGTTTACCATTAAACAGAACAGGAGCTCCTCTGGGGTCCAGAGCACTTTATACAGTAGACTCCTTAACACCCTCTGGATTTTGTGCATTTATTATCCAGTCAAAATAATAATAAAATACAATAAATTCTCTCAGACCACAGTTAGAGATCCAGCTGACCACTCAGCAGCAGACCAGCCAGTGCTGTGCTGACCCCCAGTGGCACACAGGTGTGAGGGCACAAAGACTGGGCCCCAGGACTCCGGGGCTCAGACTCCACCCCGCTGCAGGTTTCATGAGCCCCTAGCTTGTCCTAACTCATCCATGAACGAAGGGGCAGAGGTGTTCTCAGTGAGCTGAAGCACGTGGAATGAATGAGAAGGAAGCCTTAAATGAAGTCCTTGTGTAAGAGCACTGGCACACTTGTCTGACGCCCAGTGAGGTGCAGCAGCAGTCACACCCGATACAGGTGGAGAAGGCAGTATATTTCAGGAACACACTTCTCTTCCAAGTCTTGCGGGATTGCAGAAGTCCAAGACATTACTGAGAAAGGAGAGTGGTAATCTGTCATCTCTGTCAGAACCTGGTAACATTCCCTGGGTGACTGCTATGGGTCAAACAAGTACAAACTCAGTCCTCAGACTAGCCTACGGGCAGTCTGGTTGACACCTCCATTTTAGAGAAAGCCGACCCAGCTGTTACATGCCCAGGGTCACACAACCTTGCAGTCAGTTTTAGGTGTTCTCAAGGAATTCCTCTGAGCTTTCAATTCCTGTTCACCTGTTTTCAGGCAGTTTTACGGGTGCTGGGGAATTTCCCACTCAGCACTGGATAAAAGCTGTGTGCCACTGCCCCAGCCCCAACAGCTCCTACTTTAGAAGCCACTGGCCCTTCGGAGACAGAGTCACTCTGAAAATGTGTGCAGGACAGAGGCTGGGTTACTGGGTGGCACCCTGTCACAAGGACCTCGAGGATCTGACAAAGATCGACATCTCTTGATTGCATTTTCAGGTTGAGGCCCGGCCTGGAAGGAACAGTCCTGACCTTTGCCAGGGCAGGGAGGCAGCGTGGGGCGAGCAGCTGATGTGTCAGAAGGCTCAAGACACCTGAGAAGGCGCCGTGAGGGACTCAGGTACACACCGTGAGCCTCCACCTCTCAATGTTGTTCACTGTAATTCACATCACAGGCCTGGGTCCTTGAGGGCATCAAGATAAACCTTAGGATGGAGAGGGTCACAGGGTGAAGAGCTGGAAACTGACTCAGAGGAGCCCCAAAGGACAGTGGGGTGGTGTGTACATAAGAGGAAAGCCGTAAGTGGTCTTTGGGACCCTACACATGCCCCTTGGTCCATGGGGGGATAGAATGGGGCAACATGAGGCCTAATTTGGCCCCTGCACCCACAACCAACACAGCTTAGCACCCACTGTGCTTTTATGTAGTAGGGACTTATTCCAGTCACCCTAAAATGAAATGAAGCCTGTCTCCACGTGTGTCTCTGGACCTACCACCTGCCCGCTCCCCACTGCAGTCTCATCTCACCATCCCAAGGGCACAGGCACTGGGGACTCCCGGTGGGCAAGACAAAGTTCTCCCAGGCACAGAGCCAAGCACTGTCTGCAAAACTACTCCCCAGCTTCCCCCCATAGCCCAGTGGTACCCCGAGTGCCACCTGCTGTTTGGGTTGGATCAGCAACCACTAAGGAGTCTGGGCCTGCTTGGTGCTCAGTGCTGGTCCGTTCCAGAGTGAAAACTTCTGCTCTGCACTCCAATGTTAGAAGCCCAACTTTAGCCCCTCCCTTCTCCCTCTCACACAGCTCTGCCGACAGCCACATCACAGAGACTAATCAGGCCTCACATACACAGAACAGCTCCTATGTCTTCTCCAGATGAGCAGAGAGGGGCCTGGTGAGGGTTTTCTCAGCTTTGAGGATGAAAATGACATTCTGAGATGCCTGCTGTGGGTTTTAAGGTATGGGGACGTGAAACCAGGCAAAACTGCCTCATTACCCATCCTCTACCCCAACTCCAATTCCACTGATCCCAGGCCCTGTCTCTATCCAACACACTAAGCAGCCACTGAGGAATGTGACAGTTCCAAGGAAAGGACGCAGTCTTCCAATGTGGAGCCAGGATGGCCAGCAAAAACCCAAGACCCCACTTGCCTCTCGAACACAATTTCAGGACAGGTCGATGATGGGCAGTTTTGATTCCTGGTGACGGACAGAGGGAGGGGGGACAGGGTCTCTACCTCCCAGTGCCTGATTTCAGCTGCTCTCCTCTGGGTCTCCCCATTTCCCAGAGGAGAGTTCAAAGCACAGACCTCTGGGCCCTGGTTAACACCTCTGGAGTTTTGCTCTGCTCCCAATTATTCATCACTCACTGTAGAGAGTGCTGCTGTTGATCCAGGGCCAAAGCCAGGCCAATTGGCAGCTTAAGGCAGCCTAGGCAGGCTCCCCATGGGAGCTGGGAGGGCCTGGGCCCACGCCAGCGGGATATGCTCCTCACTGGCCACAGCCACGGCTGCAGACTCAATTCTGCAGTCTAAACTGTCCTGCACACTGCCATGGGGGTGCCAACTCTGTCCTCCTGTGGTCTGTTTCACTCCAGACAGGACCTGTCATGGAAAGACACCAACACCCGCTTCTGGAGGAAGGCCCAGTCTAGAGGGTAGGGAGGGGCAGTTTGAAGCTGAGACCCAACTGTACATGAGTGGTGCTTCTGGAGGACTGAGGACTGGTGCTGAGAAGAAGGACTTTCTGACATCAGCTTCCCTCAGGGTCTGCTAGAGTAGCAGTTTTCAAACCTTTTGGTCTCAGGACCCCCTTCACACTCAATGATTGAGGACTCCAAAAAGAATTTGTTCTGTGGGCTATATCTATCAGCATTTACCATATCAGAAATCAAAAATGAAGAATTTAAAAGTATTAAAATTCATTAAACATAACAATAATAAATTCATTATATGTTAACATAAATAACTTTTTTAAATAACTCCTTTCTGAAACATTTAATGAGAAGGCTGGCCTTGGTTTACATTTTTGCAAACCTTTTTAAGGTCTGGCATAAGAGAAGACAGCTGGACTCATATCTGCTTCTCTAGTCAATCTGTTGTGATATGTAGTTTTGGTTGAAGTAGGTAAGGAAAATCCAGCCTCCCACAAATAAGTAGGTAAAAAAAGGAGGAGCATGTGAATTGTCTTTTCAGATAATTGTGGATATTCTTTGATACTGTACCCAAATTTGACAACTGGTAGTTTCTTAAAAGTTAGTTGCAATGTGGACCCTGAATCCTTAATGATGAATTCTTCTGACTCTATTACATTAAAATTTATTGGTTTTCCTTGCATTATAATGAAACTTTTACACATGCATGAGTTTGTACCAGCATGTACAGGTCTTTGGAAAATACTAGTTCCCAATTACGAGCCCCAATTATGTAGATCTAGCAATGCTGACACCTCATTATGTAACAGCCCCCCTTAAAAAATTCACATTATTAGTATCACCACCAACCTCATCAGAAAAATCTTTATCTGGAAGCTGTCAGGCTCACAGTGGCAGATACCAGATTTCCAAAATTCTACTTTTCATCTGAAAGCTCAAATTTTATCATTGGCAACCAATAGAACAAATCTATCATTAGCAACACATACAAAAACAAAAAGGCTGGTTGTTTTCCTTGAAGTAGCAGGCTTACTTTGTTCATTTTCAAGAAAATGTCTGCTAAATCCCTGAGTCTGAATAACCAGGATATGTGTGCCAGTTGTTCCTTTAATATGGAGCGCCACAAAAAAGC